CCATGGGTTGTTTGAAATAGGTTTCACGGCGTCCATAGTCAGCGGCTGCAAACTGAGCTGAAACGACCACAAAATAGCTGCAAAATGATTCATCCTGTCGAATACTTTGAAATAAATCATGGCTTAGAGCTTAGCTGAACATAGATCAGTAGAGGAGTTATAGAAAAGAGTCGATGGCTCTTCCACCCACCCACGCACATGTCCTCCGCCATAATTTTAGTTTGTTGTTTTCAGTTTATAAAGCAGTTAACTTAGCAGTTAGATTAAATAGTGATGTATTTCGATGGAGCTTCTGAAGACAATGTCAAATTAGTGTCTCAAATTTGGGATGTGTAGTGGGGGATACAGGAAAGAGCCGATTTGCCTTACCGTGTCTCCTCGGTAGGTTACTGTCGGCCCAAGAACTCCACTCGCATGGGCCATCTTGTCTCTTTCTTTTTCTCTCTCTCTCCCTTCCACCTCCTCCGAGACAACTCACAGCGAGTGTATTTTAGGAGGGTAAGAGGGACAATAGAAGGAAGGCGTGAGGGGGACTAAGTTGGTCAAAATATGGTGTACTAGTTCTATCGTGTAAAATGGAAGAGGTCCTTGTTTGTAGAGAATTTATTGAAATAATGAGGTTTCAAGACACGTGCTTAAGAAAAGGCACGTGCCTTAATTGTTACTTATTGAAGTACGGGTAATATCATAACACTATTTTAAACCCAGGTATGAAGAACAAATCTTCACAAAAATTAGTTTTTTCACCATAATAAGTTTCATTGTATTATGACAACGTTAAATTAGTTTTTCAAAGTTGGAATCCAAATGGGGGGGGGGGGCTGGAAAAGAGCCCATCGGGCCTTTTTTTTACCGTTCTCTTCACCATGATGATTGTTTCATCTGAAAGTTATTATGTTCATACTTTTACCCAAGGGATCGTAGTGCAATACTGCGAATCAGCTTTTTTTGAAACTAAGTCGCAAATGAAGTGCTCATTTGATGACACATTTGGTATATTTCCAAGTATTGGTAATTTTTCAGCATTTGTAGCTGATTTATTGGCGGCTACTTTTTTAGCGGCCCTGCAATTTTTTCCTTTTCAAAAACTATCCGCCCAAATATCAGATCAAGAGTTCAACTTAAAGAACCGGTGTTAGGAATTGTCCCTGCATAAAACGTCCTGTATTTTGTAGAAAACAGTTGTGGCCATAAAAATTGACCAATCAGCTTGACTGTTTTTTGGCTACATTGCCAAATCTGAGATTAAAAATACCCTCGAAAGAACAGGTATTAGAAATTTTTTCTGCAAAAGCAACTACAACCTAATTTTTGTAGAGAATCAGTTCTGGTCTTATAAAAGGTCTATTTTGTGAAATTTTAACCGTTTTTTGGGAAACAGTTGGCCTTTGTCGAAAACTATCCTGCATAATCGGAAATCAAGGATTCAATCGAAAGAGTTAGTGCTAATAAAGGGATGTTATCTGCATTGTGGCTATGCCTTTTTTATTAGAGAACAGCAATGTTGTTTCCTCTTGTTTGTTTCCAAACGACCGTGGCGAGCATGCTAGGACTGAGACTAATGTACCGGTCAGAGGTTCAATTCCGGCATATTGAATAGTTTTGTTTTTATTTGGCTACACTTTTGCTGCATAGCATTGGCTATTTGATACAACTGTAGCTGCTATATTGTTAGCTAGTGTTGATAAAGTTTCAACAGAATGGTATAGAAGCAATTCCGGCACATTTTGAAGTTTTTTCGAGTCTTCATCTTTTTTTTTTCGTGTTTTACTTTTTAATTGGCTTTTGGAACTTTTTTGCCGTGTTCTTGGTTGTGTTTGCCAATTGCAGCTTCGCCTGTGTCGATATTTATTAGCGATTGCCTCATAATTGGCAGTTTGTTCTGTTAAGTTTTTTTAAATTCTCTCGCTTGAACTTGATTGTGTGTTTCGCTTCATTATCTTCGCTTCAACATGAAGTTCCCTCGGTCCATGTGCTTACGCTTGCAATTAGGAAGCGTATCAAATCGAAATATAGACTTCTTCTGCGTTACCAATTGTTCAAAAAAATCACTTCAATGATTGGTAACAGCACTTACGCTACATTAGCCTGCTGACATGTACTTTTTAAAAATATTATCATGCTCATTAAACTACTGTATTACCGATTGATGTTAAATTACTCTCCAGTAGTTTATTAGTTTTCCTGATTTTGCAATTTTTCTTTTTTTGGTCTCTTTGTATGTTTCTTCGGCAGTTTTCAGAGCCTGAACTTTATTCAGTTTCAAGTTATTTTTACCCTTGCTTTAAGCAAGGGTATTGCAATCGTGTACTAGACTTTTTCCCGTAAATAAATTTGTTCACAGAATGGTCAAAGTTAGAAAAGGTAACTTTGGGGTCAGTTCATGAATTCAAACTTCTTTGCGTCTCCAGCAACGAATGCACCTGGGACGGCAAAGGTACTCGATCGAATCTGACAGGACCTGATTTTTTTTGAACCGCAAATAGTCCGTTTCAAAAAAATGAACGGCTATTCATTTTCTGCTTATGTTTTATCGGCTTAGTTGCCATATTGCAGAATTGTTTGTTTTTCAGTTTATTTACCTTATAGTTGCTCTTAGTGTTCTGATTTACTTCTGCTGTTTGTAACTTTTCTATCCTTGACTCGTATATTTTCTTTTTTATGATTTTTTTCGCCTAAAAACTTTTTTCTGCCCAAATGATTTCGGCTTGTTTTTTATCAGCTTAGTGACCTAATTTCGAGTCGTTTCAACGGAAACATCGCTTTGTTTTTGTTTCCTTTTTCTCGGCTTGATGGATTTCGGCATATATAATATCGACTAATTGACCTCATATTGCGTCTTTCAACGAGCGAAAAAGTTTGTGTGCGCGTGTCTGTGTTTTGAAGATGAGTTGAACTTTTCGACTTTTTATTTTCCTTTTTTGGGCTTCATAGGTTTCGGCCTTTTTTTACATCGACTTAGTGGCCTCATATTGTGTCATTTGACGAGCAAATCAAGTTTTTTTGAGAGTTTGTGTGTGTTGAAGATGAGTGGGGTTTTATAAAACTTTCATAAAAATTAAGTCGCGTTGATTTTTTTGGCTTTAAGTTTGGCCATAAGGTTTCTGACAAGGTATTTTTGGCTTTGTTACCGCTGGGTACATTATATTCCGATGCTAATTTCAAATTGGCATATTTCTGTTTCGAATCTAATCTTATTCATTTTGATAGATCTAGTTTTTTTTGACATTTTCGGTTTTTTTCTCTTCAATTTTTTAACTTGTTTTGTAATGCAAGTGGTGCGAAGCTCGGCTTTGCCTCTGTATAATAAAATTGGTTGTAATTTTCATTTATTCCCATAATCTATTTTTAATAGCTCTGTTGCTTAAAAGGTTCAATCGGCAATTAATTTTTGACCAATTTTTTGTCGGCATAGTCGCCTCTCATTGCGTCATTTGTAGGGTGATATTACATATTTAGGCGGTTTTGCTTCATCTATTTGTTGCGGCAATTTTTTTGTCTTCGGTTCAAACGACGTCTACCGCTGGATAATTTTTGCTATTCTTAAAATATCAAAGCTAAATAAATTTTGTCTGAAAGCTAATTGAACGCTGGCAGTTTTTTTCTTGTTGAGTCATTGAACGTAATTCAGACCCTTATATAGGTCGTGATTTTTTTTTTGTTTTAATTTCAAGTAAGGTCTTAAAAATTATTCAGGCTCAAATTCACTTCGCGGTCTGAGTTTTGTTTTCTTTTCAAGTTCAGTTCATTTCCTTCTTTAAAATGAATGCAAACTCCACTATCAAACAGAAAAAGTAACACAAAATGTGAATAACTTCCAATTTCAAAAATGGATTTTATTTTTGATATTTTTCAGCTCTATTAAAAGTTTTCCTATTGATCCAGTTTTCTTAAATGGGGTTAATTTTATTTCACTTGCTTGAGCGAGTGACTTGTAATTGGGAACTAGACTTTTTTTCCCGTAAACAACCTTTAGTACACTTTCTGACGACATTCTGACATGCTTAAAGGCTGACTGACATGCTTAATTTCATAAAAATTCAAATAAATAGTCTATTTTGGCGCCTTCGACGCCGAAATAGACTAATTTTGAGAGGAAGCCCGCTTAAAAAAACGCGATTTTTTTGTCAACATTTTCCAAAAAGTGCCCAAAAACGGCTTTTCAAAAATTTGACTGTAGCGCTAGAATTTTTCTCCAAGTACGATCGTTGTAGTGTTCTGGGACTGCTCGGAAACTAAAGGTCTTTATAGTGTTCTGGTTGCCGCACGAAAAAAAGGTCGACAAAATGTTCAAACAATTTTTGAACATCCGCCCCCACCCTTCGAGAAAATTCTAAAACTGCCCCTGGCTACCACAAATAATCATCGGAGAGAAATGACTGATAAATCACATTAAAGCTTCTACAGTCGTGATTCGGAAAGTTTTGAAAAAGTTTGTCAGCGTCGAAAGAAATCGGTTGAAAATTTACGAGTTTTGTCTGAATTCGAGCGAAGAAAGCAAGTGAAGGCTTACAATAGCTTATTTTAAATAATGGCTCAAAAGCTTACATTAGCTGAATTTAAAACGTAAAAACTTAGTTTTACCCGAGTGAACTTAGTTTTTTTGAGTGTTTTAGCGCCTTTAGGAATCAAAAAATTCATAAAAACTGCTAAAAGTTTGAAATTTTAATTTTTTTTTTGGTTTTCTTGGCATTTTTCTTTAAAAATTGTTTTTCAATCTGCTTATTTTAATATGACTGTCCAATATGCCTTTTCTTTAGTTTTTAGTTCAGATCTTTTTATCACACCACGCCGAAAAAACTACACTACGTTGAAAAAAAAACTTTTTTAGACTATGGTCGGATCATTCCAAGCTACTTGCACAGTAACCGGCTATCCTTGTTAATAATTAGTAATTGTTATGAATTAGTAATTGTTAATAATGAGTAATTGTTAATAATTAGTAATTGTTGAAAATTCTTAATTGTTAATAATTAGATAGCTTTGAAGTGCTGTTGCAGGTGTTGTCGTTCACTGGCTATGCTCTGGTGGCGCCCTGTGTGATAGTACTACTCTCCGCCATATTCCACCCAGTGCATGACCACCTTTTCTTCTACCTCCTCTGGCTATTCATCGGGGGACTCACAGCTGCCAGACTAGCCACTGCATTCGCATCCAGGTATTACTATATTTATTGATAATAGACATGTTGGCCTTATTGGTGTTCTTAATAACCAAATTATTAACTAATTGGTCAATTTTTGAAAACAAGTTTATTATTTATTTATGTTCCGCCGTATTTACGTTCCGCCAGTAAGATAGCAGTGCATCAGAGAAAATTGGGCACTTTGCTCAAAAAAATTGGAAGTCGGGCTCTTCAAGTTTCCCATTCATTTTGCCAAAATTTTAACTTCAAATTGTTTAAAAATTGTTCCTACGGCAAATTTCTCTATAAAATGTGTAAAAAAAAGTTGTTCACTTGTTCATACATACACGTTTTATTGTTGATTAGAACATTAAAAGTCATTTGAATTAGACTTTTTCAGTTTGTATATTCAAAAAATTAAAGGGGAAACCGGAAAAGAGCTGGTAACTGGAAAACACGTGTTTACTAAATCCGTTAGAACCATTTAACTGTAGGGCGGAGGATTCGACACACAGAGTAACTCTTATGGCAGTATCAGCTTCTCTTCACATGCTGTTCATGCTGTATCTTCACTTCGCCTACCATTCCACAGCCGAACAGATCAACTCAATCGCAATCCAAATCCAATGAAGGCTTCTATCACATCACTGGGAAAAGTATTTACGAAGTATGGGGGAGTGTAAACGAAACAGCACAAAAATGCGGCCACTTCAGTTGAAGAATCAGAATAGTATAGTAGAGAAGGAACTTTGTGTTACATTTCTTCTGAACCCTCTGCATTCATTAAGCTCCAAAAAACTAAAGAAATACCTTTATTACTGACTGAGCTAAAGTTTGTAAATTCAATTCTAACAGCAATGTCCCAGTTTCAATTAGATCTCAAATATTTTCCTATCAAATTGTATTAATTGGCGTTGCTTTGATAAATATGTATGAGGTTAATGCTTAAAAATTTAGATTCTATCTTTTGAATTACTGCAGCAAAAAAAAAGAGTTCTAACCTTAATCCAGTTCGGATGGAGTAAAGGTATTAAATAACTCGATTCTTTTACCGTTTAATTGATTCTATTAGCTTATTTAGCTTTTCATTTGCGTTTTCCGCAATGCAAATGGACGGAAGTATAGAGAGTTGCAAAAAGTTCGGACAGACAGAATTAATTAAAAAGAGCAACTGTCTACACATCAACGAAAATTAAAACTGAAATAAACATAACGTCGAAAGTTCATAATGCAGAGTTACGGGGTCAACTTAACAATCCCCCTTTCAAAGGGGAAGAGATCGTTAATAAGATTACTTGCAGCGAAATTTCGACCAATCAGAATGCAGCAAAATTCGAGTTTACATACAATGCTCTGGTGCGAAATTACAGTTCTTATTTACAGGGGTGGAGATTCTTTAGTAGATTCAATAGGGGGATTGTTAAGTAGATCCGAGTTTCGCTCAAAACCTATAACCACGGCGTTCAGTTGCATCCGAAGCGTCGAAATAGTTTTTAGTAAAATCTGGATGTTCTTTGCAGTCTTTAAAAATTAGGCTAGCATGATCATCGGATAATCGACAATCTCGCGTTTTGAATTTGGTCTGACAAAAAATTCAAGGTTGTTCGGCTTCAAATTTTGCATGCAAAAGACCGTCAAAAAGCACTGATTGTTCCTTTTAATTAATTCCGTCTGTCCGAACTTTTTGCTACTAATTATACGTCACTGACGTGAATGTTTGAAAAGAAAATTGATATTAACCGAACCGAATCAGAAATTTCAGCTCAAATGAAATTCATCTGCTGAAAGTTACGTAAATAGCTTTCTCCAAATACGAATGTGGTAATGGCGCGAAAAAAACGTGACGCGGATAAAAAAATCTACCAAGTTATCCAGTTTTCTCAATTTGGGTTAATGTTATCAAAACAGCGTCGATCATAAATTGTTCTAGAAATTTGAAGAGCCTACAGGGCATCTGTTTTTTCTTTGAACTGGCAGTTGTAATGTTCTTTCTGTCAGTTGGCTATGTTTAAATAAACGGGACAAAACAAACAACAGTGGAAACTTCTAATGCGTTTGTTTTCAAATTGGGTTAGGATTAGACAAAAAGCGAAGAGAACAAAATGTGCTTAGAATTTCACCAGAAATTATTAGGGTGCTTTTTAGTGTAAAAAGCTGAACCAAAATTTTGCTGAAAAAATGGATCATGTTAGATTTTCTTAGTTTATCAAGAACTACACTAAAACTACCAAATTAATTGCTCGTTTTTTTTTGTCTGTGAAAGAGGCTGCTTTAAATATAATTTGTCATCAATTAACTTGATAGTTAGCGTAATTCTTGATAAACTATGAAAATAACTTGACCCATTTTTGGGGTAAAAGTTTGATTCCGAATTACGCAAAATAAAATTGCACCGTAAAAATTGTGAAACTGCACCGTAAAAAAAGCAAATTTTTTCTCTTCACTTCTCGTCTAATCCTACAACAATTTAAGAAAAACGCGATTGAAATTGCACCGTAAAAAAGCAATTTTTTTCTCTTCAGTTCTTGTCTTATCCTACCACAATTTAAAAACAACGCGATTGAAGTTTCTGTTGTTTTTAGTCTGGTTAACTAAAATCAGCTTCATTTCATATATGTAATGATTTTTTTCAGGAACAATCTTAAAAATGGTTCAGGCTCAATTTTGATTTTTTTTTGTGGTTGTACTTTTGATTTCTTTTTCAAGTTAGTTTCATTTCCTCTGTTAAAAAGAACGCAAACTCAACTATCAAACAGCAAAATTGTAAAGGTCACAAAAAACCTGATCGATTTTTTGTTTAGAAAGTAATTTTAGTTTCCAGTTTTCCAAGCGGAATTGAAAATTTACCTTTTGATCTAGTTTTCTCAAATTGGTTTTTTTTTCTGGAAAGTTCACAAAAAAATGTGAATGACTCGTTTTAAAAATTAACTGAATTTACTTTTCTGAATTTCCAGCGGGATGTAAAAATTGTTCATCTGCAATTTTCCATCTGCTTTTGGCTATGTTTGAATTAACTGATTAAAAAGAAAGACAACAATTCTACGATATTGTTACTGGGTAAAATATTCTGACTTAAATAAGTTTTTGTAACAAAAACAAGAAAAAAAATTCCAACACACTAATGATGAAAATGACTTGGATCAAGTAAAATGAAACGTATCAGGGAGTAAAAAGAAGAGATAACTAATGTTTCCGCTCGTAGTTAAATTAAAAAAGAAAATGAAAGGTAGTAGGGTACCGCACAAGGGATGGTGTTCCCTGTCTTCTCAGTAGGTGGGGTGTGGTTACCTCCGTACCTCGCTCTGGGGAATGGAATCAACTCCCAATCTCTGTTTTCGACACTTTTTCTACTGCTTTCCTACTGGGAGTGAGGGGATGTCTTGATTCAATAGCCTTTGGTTGATTTTTTTTGCATTCTTCTTCTCAAGTCAACTTGTTTTCACTCTCTTGTTTGATGATTTTAAAATGCGGGAATAATCATAATCACGATTGTTAAACCAAACTGCTGGAGGATGAGAATTTCTGAATCAGATTTTTTAGTCATGAACACTTGAGCGGCCACCCTAATCAGAAATGGGTTTGGGGAACCTATATGTGAGCCTAACATGGGGCGGAAAAAACTCCCTGAGGCGATCTTTACTTCACATGACCTGCTATACAATCGGGGCCGGTGAACAGTTGTGTCACCCGGCCAAGTGACCAGGTTTCACATGAGGATTATTTTTCAAGTAGCCAGAAAATATCGCCAATTTCTAAAGGAGATTTGTTTATGATCCGATGTTGAGATTTGGCATGTGTACAGCAACAAGCCTGCTTCAGATGTTGTGTAACCTAATTTATTTGCGTCCAGTCTGAAGACTTGAGCGCACCCTTTTCGTCCAGCATGCAGGCTGGCAAAGTTAAAAAAAATCTCCCCAGTATGAAGTGGTTTGTGGTTACTGGATCTTCGTCTTAATGATCGCTTCGTAAATGGGTTAGTGGTCTTGAGTTTGTGAAGCTTTCTGTTTCGACAACAATCGTAGTGGAAACGTGCCATGTCAGTTTTGCTGAACCATGGTTTATCAGGAGAGCTCGTTTGATAATCTGAACTAGTCCCTCCCACCGCCCACCAAAACAAGGAGCGGAATTATGGTTGAGGCGCCATTCAACAGAATGATTGAGCATGTTGTGATTCAGAAACTCTTGGTCTTGGTTGAGCGGTTTCTTTCATAGTTGCTACCTGGCGCCGAAAAATTTGAACTGTTGTCACTTAGTGAAACACTTCGTTGTTGAAGCGGGGAATTGGACCTTCGTGTAGACGAAATGCAAGTTTTTAGAGTTTAGTTCTCGGTAGTTTCTAAGTGAGTTGCCCTTGGTACGAGGCAGTTTAATATACACATATAAGTTTTTTTATCTTCCTTTTTGCACCCAATAGTAGATGATCCAATGTAATCGAAGCCTACAACAGAAAAGAGACAGGTACTTTACTCTGTGGGAACCTGTTAACAGGCAAATTTGCCATAGGAGGTTGAAGGTGAACCTGTAAATCGTCGACAGACGAAGCATCTGAATGCAATGCTCCGCAGATACTCTCGAACGACAAACATTTGTGCTGAACAAGTACATGTGCTGTAGTACATGCGCTGAACAAACATCTGATATGTTTTGTTCGGAAATGCATGCAAATTTTTGACACTTTGTTTAAACAATTTCGTTGTGAGTTTTTTGGCACTGAAATGATTGAGTGTTTTGTGCTGAGTGCTGAGGGCTAATGAACTTCGTTTAGGTCTTCCAACAGCACGAGGCAGATTGTTGTGACCAAATGGAGATAATTGCAACAATTTGTTTTGTGTGGTTGGGTGTCGGTTATTTGCTATGTTTGCGATCTCGTTTCCCAAAGAATTCTTTTGCGATGCTTTGGACAAGTATTCACGTGCTTCACCATAGTCTTTGATATGTAAATCGAGGGAAAACGTAAAATTAGCAAAGTTTTAAATCTGAAAAACCCTTGTTGTTCCACGCAAAAGTTTCCTCCGGGAAAAAAACTTTGATTCGCCGATGACTGATTTTAAAGTAGTTACCTTGTCCATTGAGTTCGTCGATTAGCTTGCTCTATGTGTAGTCCACAGTTCTTCATCGTGTATAAAGACGTCTATTGGTTTCAACCACATGGTGGGTTTCTCCTGAGGTTGAAGACCACGTGCAATTTAGTCAGCAAGTTTAGGTTTTCCCCCTAAAAACTTTCTTTTTTCAGAAATGATTTTATCTTTAATTTCACGCACGCGGTGAGCCACATAGTTTTTTTTAACTTATCAGCCAAGTTAAGGATAGTTTTAATCCAGCCATGTACAGCAGTGCTGTCACGCCAAAAATGTTTGTCTTTGGTTATCTTAGAGTGATGGTTGTCGACGAAGAGAGCTAAGAGTGCTCCAAGTCTATCTACTTGTAATTCGAGTTTATGTATACTTATCTGTTATATCGGCACAAATTTTGCCCGACTTGTCAGAAAAGAGCACTAGGTTTGAATATTATCACAAACACAAATTTAGATCACTGCGCCTTACGCAATGTGTGAGACGTCGGTAAAGATGTGTAGCTGACAACTTGGGTTAGAAAAAGAGGTTCAACTTGGTTTTCAAACTGAAACATTTTGTTGTTTCGATTGAGAGAGAAGCTAGATACCTGTCAATCCAAACTTGTACTTCATAGCGTTTATTATTAAGCAGGTTATCGCATACACGGCCATTTTTCCAATCACCTTGAAGGATAATTTTTAATGATAATACTAATGAGTTGGTGATACCAAGATGGTCAATTAGATTTAAAAGGCCTTTGGTATTGTGAACTAAAGATTTGAACACAAATAAAATTCTGAAAAACAAGTATTTCATGAAATTTGTTGTTATAAGCTGCAGTAAAACTTGTCAGCGCGAACAGGTGAGCATATTTTAGTCGCAATGTAAGAGTAGTTTAGTAGCTGGCTGAAGAAATAG